CTTAACCTTCCGACAAATCTCTATCTATTGTCCACAGATGTCACACGGACTTTCTTTCAGAGAAAACTTTCTTTCCCTTTTTCCCCTCCCTCTCCTTTTTGCATCAGATCCGATGGACAATTTGTCCCCGGCCATCGACAGACGACGGGGTGGTCCTTGTGGTGGTGAGACAAATTGGTCTCCCCCTGCTCCTCTCCCCCTCCTATAAGGCTGGGCTCACGGCTCCCCAACAACACTTGAGCCGAAACCGATCACAAACTTCCTTGTTGTCTACGTGTTGCGTGGTGAGGCGACAGGCCGGCCGGGGCTGCGGGGGCGTCACGGTCGGGAGCCTTTAGCAGGACAAGGTCGGGATCAACGAGATCCTTCCAAGCGCGTATCAGTTTTGTAAATGTTTCATTCATTTCATTTTACTTTTTGATCACTGAAAAATATCCTCGTTAATTTACAACATTTTTTTTTCTAATTTTAATTCACAAAGTTTGTCGTTAATTTACGACTGCCCGTCCCTGTGTGTCGAATCAAAGTGCTTGTAATTTTACGATACATATGCCTACCATGGAAAGTTTTCCTGTAGAACCTGCAACTATTTTTTACAGTGTATATTATTTACGTCAACCACGAGTGCTACTACACTGTAGTTGCATCGTTTTCCCGACCTTTTTCAGGGATTGATCGTTACTATAACAACCCCTCTATAAACTGTTTCCCCCTCGAATGGGTAAATGCATAGCCCCCGGCTCCACACACAGTGCTCTGCGTTCATGACGAGAGAGTTCCACGAAAACGCCTCGCCTCGGCTCTGTGGTTTCTGCAACATTGGGAGCATCTGCTGTTTCCCCCGGGCATCGTTCGCGCACTGTAAAATAAGTAAATAAATCTACAATTTTTGAATAGAAACTGCTTTCAGTTACGAACACAATATAAAACTGTCCACCTTTTATTGTAAATTTCATAGGGTCAAATACACGAATTAGCAATTACATATAATTCATAAACTGTAAATTAAGCACGACTCCGCTTTGTTTTTTGTTGTTTCTTAGTTTTATTTAAAAAATGACGGTAGACGGTAGGCTTCCATTTTTTACAGAGTGGGTCCCGCCCTTCGACTGGGTGCATGTATCACCCTGGGTCCAATATGGGGGGACAGGGCCAGCCAATAGGATGGGGGGGGGGGGGTAGGAGAAACCACCCCATAAGCGAAGGATTGTCTTGGGAGGAGTTTGTGTGTGTCGGGAGGAGATAGATAAGGAATAAGGAGGGAACGTGGGTGGGGGAGAGAGGGGGAGAGAGAGAGAGGGGGAGGGGGAGGAGATCGTATCCGACACAGCAGCGAGGTCATCGTCATGGAAGATGAGGGGGTTTGCTGCTCGCCATGTCGCCCCGTGACCCCTTTGGCCCGGCGCAGGGTAGGGTAGGAGGATGAGGCACTTCTAGGCGACCGGGACTGTCCTTTATATATTTTTTTTGCCTCTCCTGTTTTGTACCTAATAAAACGCTGCCTGCGTCGTAAAGTGCGCGGACTCACACACACACACGCACACACACACACACACTCACGCACACACACACACTCACGCACACACACACACACACACACACACTAACGGGGGAGTAGCGGTGGGGGAGGACAGGCTGCGGCTGCGGCAGCTGCCAGGACAGAGGCAGCTGCATCCGGAAACTTGCAGCTGCATGCAGGTGTGGTCTCTTTCTCTCTCCCTCTCTCTCTCCCTCTCTCTCTCTGCGCTGCAGACAACAACAGGTGTTGCCGGAATGCACTCGGACTGGATGGGTAATGGCGCTGGCGCTCATTTGGAGTGCCGGGTCTGTTAAAAAAAGGGCCTAACTGCCCTCCTCCTGCGCCGTCTATAAAACGGAACACGTCCGGCGGGTCCAATGCGGCGGGCCTCCGTCTCTGCGGAGCCTTCTTCTCTTCTTCTGGTTGCAATTTGCAATCAACATCTATTTCGCGGTTGAGTTCAATCTGACAATCAAAATGTCTCTTTGTAGATGGGTGCTTGTATCAGCTATCACAATCAGTGGCGATCTGTCGTGCTCTCTTTGTTTTTAATCAAAATCGGTCTTGAGACCCACAACTCTGCACTTGCTCGCAGTTAGTCTGGGCCCGCTGGTTGCGCACCCAAAAGCGCTGCAGGGCTATCTCACTGGTGAAAAGGGCGTAAGTCCAATGCAAAGTGTGTGCACTTTAGGGTGGAAATTTCGGGAAATTTCTTTAAAAAAAAAGAGAACTTTGCCGCAAAACATGGAAAATTTTCCAGACTTTGCAAGTTTTTTTTTCAGGAAAATTTCGGGAATTTTCAGGATTTTTTTTTGTTGAAATTTCCAACTCTGGCTGACTTACGCCCTTTTCTCTTTTCACCGGTGATCTCACAGGGGGCGCGGTGGGTTCACCTCGGCGTGCAGGACACTGCTGCCCTGCAGTCGGATTTCCGATACGGCTCGGGTGTATGTGAAATCGCCTCTGCAGTCTATTGTGTGTAGCGTCGGCGCGAGGCGTTTCCGCACGCCGCCGTTGCGGTCGAACCGACACACCACTTTCCAAACAAGTGAGCGTAAATCGTATTAACGCGCGTTTTTCTTTTCTTTGTGTGTTTGCAGGTGAGGCGATCCTCCAGACCTGTGCACCTAAAGGGATACAGGCAGTTGCAGTTTAAAGGAGAGAAAACTGTTGGTGTTCCGATATTCGCTTCGTCAAAAGGCAAGGACACTTTGCTTTTGGGAAATACGCTATTTTTGGAAGAATTTGTGATGGAAGTAAGTCGTACACCAATCTTTTTTTTTTTAGTGTCAAGAATTCAGTCGTCTGGAATGATAATTGTTGTAACAAAACTCGAATTAATTGGTTGCATGACTAAAAGTAACTTTCAACGACTAGAATATAGAGTGATCGGGTTTTACTTATTTATCTCGCAGTTCGTCTGTGCCAGAAGATGTGCAATTCATCGTCGGAAAAGTTTCACGGGGTTTGCGTCTCGAACTTGCCTATGGCTACATTTCAAGTTTGCGCCTAGCGGACGCTATGGAGGGGGGTACAGTAGTTTGGCGAGAGTTTTGGCTGTGTACTCGACTCGGAGGGGTTCCTCTGCGCGCTAAAGCCGCCCGTTCGTGGCCGGGTCGGGCTGGCGCTGCGGCCGGGGCGTCGGAAGGGTTGCCTACCCTCCCGGCTGACAAAGGCGCAGCGCGGTCGGGCTGCGGGCAGGCCGCAAGGACGCCCCTGGTGCTGACCCTTTCCTTTACCCCCCCC